AGGAGGAAGGAAAGAAGGTAGAGAAGAATTGTGGAAAATAAGAAAATATCAATTGAGAAATGATAGAGCTGAGGAATATGGGTGACAATAAGGAAAAAATATATCCTTAAGTATAGAATAATAATTTTTATATGTTTACATTTACATTTGGAAGTAGTTGAATAGCTATGATGCAGTGATTAAGACCATGACATTTTTTAAAATAATGAACTTTTTATTGAAGTATAACATGTTTACAGAATATGCACAAATCAGAAGAATACAAATTAATTAATTATATAGTGAACACACCCATGTAATCACCACTCAGTTCAAGACATTATTAGCATTATCTAAAAGGTCCCTTTATGCTTCCTCCCAGTCTTTTTTTCTTTCTTCTTCCAAAGGGTAGCCACCACCATAGCTTATAATATGATAAATGAGATCTGGTTCGAAATTTATAGAAATGGAATCATACATTCTAGGTATCTGCCTTTCCTGTTTCATACAGTTTTTGTGAGAACCAAATTCGTTAAAGGACACAGTGAAATCACTAAAAATCCTTTACGGTGTAATCATTTTAAAGGATCATATGGTGATGTTATAACCAAACAAGAGATTTCCATTCTCTCATGGAGGAGTTGTCCAGAATCACAGAGATGAGTTTTTGAGTTTTAGCATGGTTCTCCAGAGAACCTTTGATCCATCTGATCGAAGCAGATACTACCACCCTAGACTGGGAAGGGGTCTAGCCTTAAAACCCGTGTTACAGTGCCATAGACCTAGGGCAAGTTGCCATAGAAGAAGGGCAAGTTCATCTTTAACAGTTGGGAACTTTGGTTTTAGAGCTCTACTTTGAAACATAGCTCAAAGCCAGCTCTAATCTCAAACCCACCCTAGGTGCTTGTCTTTAAATTAAGATAAGGTCATTTCTAGTTACTAATACTAATATGCCTTCCTTTCTTTGGATCTCATCCACAAGATCTTGATCACATGCTAGAAGATCCTCAGAATAATTCTTCTACATCTTATTAGCATACCTCCCAGTTAAGCTAAATATGAATCTCCTCCTTAGCTCTGAAAATCCAGATGCTTGTTTTTTTAAAATGCCTCTCTCATGACCCTTTACCCTGAACACCAAAATTGAGGCCCAAATTTTCTACTTAATAGCTTATTTCACAGGAGATAGGCTTTCAGACTGAGGATTCCTTCCCAGATGGTAGATGTTCTTAGTTCTTCATAAAACAGTTGGCAAACCTACCTCTCTTAAAAAACAAAAGCATTTTTTACTTCTTTGGTATACTTAGACTAGTTAGAATTCATAAAATGTGCCATTGGTCTCTAAACTAAATCATTTTTCTTACTAAGATGACTGCTCTCAGTTCAGTACTCTATGGCAGTATTAGCTTTCTGTGCCAGAGGATATTGTAGTGATGTCACTCAGTTCCTTGAACTCCTTCCAAGCTATATATCAAAATCATATCGTGATCCCTTAAATTACTCTTAAAGATCAATCAGATGACTACTCAATTTTTTTTAAGCAAAAAATTGGGACCCACTAAAGGAAATAGTTATCCAATCATTAAGGTCAACTACTTTCTCATATTCTGAGACCATTAAATGATGATTAATTATATTTGTTACTATTTCACTTAAAGATACACCCTCTTTCTAGAGCTAAAACTAAATAGACCTGTCATAACAGAGGGAGAGGGATTCCCATAAAACTGAAAATTGGATATTTCAGGGTTTTTCCTTTTGACCATGAATAAAAACTACATATATATCCATGTCAAATTTTCTCTTTCTAGATCATCTTGAAATGTTTAAGAAAACCTGATACACTAACAAGGATGCTTGAAAGTTGTTATATAGAGATAAATTAGTAATTTAATTTCATGATTTGTGAAATGATTGTTTATAATTGTACATTTTATAGAGTTGAAACCATATGTCAGCATCTGAGAAGGAGGAATTAATCCTAATTAAGTTCAAGGCATTATGTTTTCAATGCATTTTGGGGAACATTTTGTCCTACACCAGTAAATGTTCTGCTTTTAGAATTGGAGTTTTATTAATAGTGAAAAGAAGGTATTAGGCAGCTAGTAAGGCATAACTGACAAAAGATGTATTAAGGATTGTTTTTAAATGCATTATTTATAGCAGAATCCACAATACATATCTATTAAGTTTATCTAAATCCAACAAGCTGATGATAGGGATGGTATCATGGTATCAAGTAATCTTGGCAAAGAGTAAATGGAATGAATGTCTGTCCTATGAGTCTCCTGTGTTCAAAGAAACCATAGAGTTAAGGAAATTAAAACAATAATGTAATTCCAGTGTACGTTCCTTTTGAAGATATAATATTGAAATGTTGGGAAGCATTTTACCTCCCTCTCCTTGAAATTGTGCAAAATATGTAACAGACATTGAGCAAGAGAAGGGTGAAAGAGAGTAATCATCCAGTTCTTTCTCATTCCTGAGAATGGTGAAAATGCAGAGTTCTTACTGTATTAGCTGATTATTATTTGCCATTATATTTTTACATATCTTGAGTATTCTGTCTCCAAGATAGATAAGGCATGCATTTGATACTCGGAGAAATAATTTGCCTCAGTCTTTAGTATTTCTTACTTTTGTTTTTGTTTTGCTTTGCTAGGAGTCTTCCTGCCCATTTCTAATATTATACATCTCCCTAACATAGACTAAGATTTTTTTTTCTCTGAGTGTCCCTTATTTCATGGATGGACCAGAGCCAGGATACACCTTGTTCACTACACTCAGGTGCACCGGAAATTCCATTTGAGCCTCAAGACTCACCAGGTTGGGCTCTCCCTGTGGGCCTGCGGGGTGGAGCCACCTCCGTCTTTTGTAGTTTTCCCTTCCCCTCCCTGAGAAAGAAATGCCGTTGGGTTTCCTTCTCACTCAAGTGCCACACCCTGCCTACTAAAGGTGAATTTAACCAGATTGCCTTAAACTAAGGATTTCTTATATGCTTTGCAAGTTTATTTACAATTACCTTAGCTTTCCAGAAAACTTACTACAGTTACTCTTCTCTGA